GTGGGGTTTGAACCCAAGGTCTTCGTACTGAACTATACCTCTAGCCATTTTTTAAAGACAGTATCTCACTAAGTCCCTAAGCTATATAAACTGAATTTGCACTTCTCCTACCTCAGCCTACTGGGATTACAGTTATGTATAACCACACTCAATTGTAAGAAATACAAATTAAAATTTGGGTAATTGTAAACCACCACTCAGGAGGCTGAGACAGGAGGATTGCCACAAACTTGAGGGAGCTTGGACTATACAATGAGTTCAAGACCTGAATTACATAGTGAGACTGTTTTAACCAGTCTCCCATAAAAACCCCAAGACTTGGGTCTCACTAGTTAGATTGATCGTGATCAAAAAGATGTTTGATCCAGCAGTGCTGGTTTTAGGAATTTGTTCTATAGGCATACTTTACATATGTAAAAAGATGTATCTTTAAGGATAATTTTTTTTTTTTTTTTTTTTGGTGGAACTGGGGATTGAACTCAGGTCCTTGCGCTTGCCAGGAAAGCACTTATTCTACTGAGCCATCTCTCTGGCCCCTCGATAATTATTTTTTTATTTTTTTATTTTTTTTGGCGGAACCGGGGATTGAACTCAGACCCTTGTGCTTGTCAGGGAAGCGCTTATTCCACTGAGCCATCTCCCCGGGCCCTTCCAGCCCCTCGATAATTATTATAATACTATTCAAATTAGTAAACTAGTAGACAGAAACATGTCTATTTAGTAGGAGACATGAAAAATAAGTGACATTTAGGCAGTGAAAAGCTGTTCTTTAAGAGAATGAACTGGAGCTAAGCTTGCTGGCACAGCCTATGTAATCCCAGGTATTTGGGAGGCTGAGGCAGGAGGATTGAAATTTCAAGGGCAATTTAGCTCAAAATATAAATTTTTATAAAATGCACAATTGTTGAGACTGGGCATGGTAGTGCGCGCCTGTAATCCCAGCTCTTGGGAGGCTGTAAACAGGTGGATCACTGAGAGTCCGATTTAGTAGTGAGACCCTGAACACCCTGTAGACCCTTCCCTAAAAATACAAAAAAAAGTTGGGGCTGGGGAGATGGCTCAGTGGAATAAGCAGTTCCCTGGCAAGCGCAAGGGCCTGAGTTCAATCCCCGGTTCTGCAAAAACAAAAAACAAACAAACAAACGAAAAAACACCAAACCAAACCAAACCAAAAAACAATTGTTACTAATACCAGCACAAATAAAAATTTTCAAAGAAATGCGGATGTGGCTCAATGGTAGAGTGCTTGCCCACCACACATAATGTGTCCCTAGGTTCAATCCCCAGAACCAAAATAAAAGAAAAAAATGGGAATAAAGTGGATCTATATGTGTTGGCTAGGGAATGCTCTTCTAGATACTTGTTTTGTTTTGTGTTGTTTTTTGGGTGTTGGGATTCAACCTTGAGACTTAGTGCTTGCCTGGCAGGTGCTATGCCACTGGGCAGTTTGAGTTTTAAAATGTTTATTAAAGACTGTTCTCCAGAGGTCTACAACCTTTGATTTGTCATTTAAAAAAGTGACATACTTTATAGTACAGGTAATGTAAAAGGATAGAGCTGTAAGCATTTCCTACTGGAATTCTGATAGTACAGCACAGTGTGGTCATTTCTGCAATGCTAGAATAAATTTTTTTTAAAAAAGTCTTTTCTATGTGTCTCTTCAAAAAGCGATGAATGATAGCAGACGATGGCGTAAAAAGGCCGCTTTTCTCCTATTCATTCTGTAGTGTTGGAGCCAGTATTTTTACCATCGCACGCCACGATCTTCACTTTATCCACTTTGGTAAGTTCTGTCACCTCTGTGAATTCTACATCGCTCAGTGCAAAGGTCCCTACATTATTGCAGAACCTGTACGTGTTTAGAGAGCCCCTGAAATTGAGTCTGTTCCTGACCCTTTGAGCCAGTGCGGAATTTATAGCCTTATCCAACTGAAGTAGAACTTGGAGGACAAGTTGGGGGGTGATCTGTTGAGACCGTATGAGCTCATGCAGGCTTTCCTGAAGACTGTTTCCTAAAGTGGTATTTCTAGGGGCTGGGTAGATAGCTCAGTAGAATAAGTGCTTGTCTGGCAAGTGCATGGTCCTGAGTTCAATCCCTGGTACCAAAAAAAAAAAAAAGAATTAGAGGTACCAAAGTGGTATTTCTGTATAACTGATATGCCATGGCACAGGAGAAAGGAAGAACCTTTTTCAAGCTTGCATTGATATTCAGTCCCTGCACGAGCCACCGCGGAGCAGAGCGCAGCTGTGGTGGCCAGGGCCTGCAGGAGGCGCCGCCCAGCCAACCACTAGCTCAGCCGCCATGGAACCGCAGACTGTTTTTCTTTCTTTCTTTCTTTCTTTTTTTTTTTTAAGGTTTAGAAATGTTCATAATATGTTTGTCTTCTGTATTTAAGGTAAAAGAGTGACTATATAACTGCACACATGTGAATATGAAGGTAATTTTTAGAAGGGATATGAAAACACTAGATAGTGCTTGTCTCTAAAAGAAATGAAAGGGTAGGGAATGGGGCAGGAGCGACTTTCATTGTTTACTGTTTTATACTGTTTGGGTTTTTAAAGAAACCATGTGCAGGAGCCGGGGAGATAGCTCAGTAGAATAAGTGCTTGCCTGGCAAGCGCAGAGTCCTGAATTCAAGCCCCAGTACTGCAAAAAGAATGAAAGAAAGAAACCATGTGCATATATTACTTTCCAAAAAATGCATTAAAGATAAAAAAGGCATTTTTTGTAAAGACATTGTTCTCAAAGGGTGTGACTAAATATCTAGGTTTCGTGATCTGTATTGTGCCTTCCAGTGGGTTCACTATCTCCCCGGCCCCTGCACATGGTTTCTTCAGATTTACTTGAAGTTTCAGGTCCATGGACTTAGGCTGGGTGTGGTGGTGCATGGATGTAATCCCAGTACTTGGGAGGCTGAGGTGAGAGGATCATTGCCAATTTGAGACCAGCCTGGACTGCAAAGTGAGCTCAAGTAGGGCCCGGGAGATAGCTCAGTGGAATAAGTGCTTCCCTGGCAAGCACAAGAGCTTGACTTCAATCCCTGGTTCCGCCAAAAACAAAAAAAAAAACCTCAAAGTGAGCTCAAGGCCAACCTGAAGTGCACAGTGAGACCCTGTCGCTAAGACCAAAAAAAAAAAAAAAATCCATGGACTTGAGGTCCCAGGAATTGGGGGTGCTGGAGCTTTAGGTTTTGTTTTGTTTTTAGGTTTTTGTCTTATTGATTAATTGATCAATTGATTGATTCAGACAGGGTCTCACTATGTACATCAGGCTGGCCTTGAATTCACTATGTAACCCAGACTAGTATTGAACTTGTCCAACCTTCCTGCCTCAGCCTCCTAAATGCTAAATGACAGGTATGTATTACCACACCTGGCTCCAGAGGTCTAGGTTTTAGAGAGCATAGTTTTTCTGCATGACAGATCCAGAATGGGCAGGGCAAGCTGTGCCTGCAAGATTGTTGGCATTTTGGCAGCACTTAAAGCCCATGAATAAATAATGATTTAGTTAACATAGGCTGAGAGCCTATGTAAGCTTTCCCTGTCTGCCTAATAGCCTCTTCAGGACCTCTGACTGTGTCCCCAAATGCGTCGTTCCTTCTACCCTTAACACACGGGGCAGCTGTGATCCAGTAGGGCCATCCTTTTCCCTGTGATCTCCTAAATCTTTGTCTTCCAATTTTATTTAAAGGTTACTTCCTCCTGGAAATCAACCCCATACCCCAGCCTATGTCAGTCTCTCTGTCATGCATTCTCATAGTGCCTATACTTTTCCTTGGGGGAGATATAACTAGAGAATGTTCTTGTTTTTTGGTTTTACTGCTATGTCCTTATACTATATAGAGTACATACTAGGAACTAAAAATCTAAAAAAAATGGATGGAGGCTTAAGAAAAAAAAGGTAAGTCTCTGGAGTAATAGTGGGTAATCGAAGTGACACATGTCTGGAGTGTTGGTAACTCCTTTCAGCCTAAGGTGGGGCTTTGGTCAAGCCTTGGGGAGTCTGTGATGCATGTCACAGTAGCAGCACTAACATGTAGCTCCTAGGTAGGACTTGAGCTGTTGGCTACCTAAAGCCTCAGCTTGTGTTAGAAAGGAAGTACTGATACCATAAAGACATTCCTTGTGTGGCTTCTGTCTGGTGAGGCATGCAGATGTGGTCCCATCTAGCCCCCAGAGTGGGCTCTTGAGCAACCATAAGGAACTGTGGAAACCAACCCAATTTGGTTACAACATGTTATAATGTGGTCATGTCTTACCAGCTGCAACAGAGAAGCGCAAGGCCTACCCAACTCCCAGGAGTATCTAGTCTGCAGGAAAGTTACTCAATGGCTTTACCAAGCTGTACCATTGAGTGTGGACTGATGAAGTTCAGTGTTTACTCTGGAACCCAGGCACACCAGTCACTCAATAAACCTTTACTGATAGCCTGTGTGAGTGAGCTGAGCATGTGGCTCAGTGGTAGAGTTCTTGCCTTGTATGCACAAGGCCCTAGATTCCATCTCCGGCACCACACACAGTGATGATAGCCTGTGTGTAGGTGTCCTGTGGATACAGAAAAGCATTATGGGTGAGCATTTTACACACACTTAAGTGCTCCAGAGAAAACACACATACTCGTGCCTATTAAAAGGTTTATTTTCTTCTTTATGCTCAGAAAGATATGGCCTTGCCCCCACAGGATGTCATCTTGAAGGAACGGGAGGCTGAGATAGCGACTGGAGGAGTGTGTTGGTGTGAGGTTGAATGCACCAGTTTTTCCTTTCTCTATTACCACACCTCGCTTTCAGTGTCCTCTTCCCAAACATTTAGATATGAACACAGCTTACTACCTCCTGGAGGGCTGGAGAAGCACAGCTGTAGTCAAGATTAATGCCCACTTTCAACAAGCAAAGGGTCCAGTGCGTATCTTGCTGGGGGGGCGGGGACAAGGAAGAGGGAGTGAAGGGGTTGACTGCCAGATGGAGGGGAAGGAAGAAAGGCTGGGATTCCTGCCTGCCCCTACCTCTCCAAGCACCATCTACTCCCTCTCCAGCCCCCCCTTCCTAGCAGAATTGGTCATCATAGTCATCATCCTTCATCCCCTTCAGCCGAAGTCGGGCGAAGTCTTCAAACACAATGTCGTCATCTGTGGCATAGCTTGGTGGTGGAAAGGAGAAGGGTGAGGTGAGGCCCTTCTGGCCTTTCTCTCTACCCCTCACTCCTGCCCAGGGACAAAGAAGGTACAGTAATAGCCTTATAAGGCTAAGTCATCTGTTTCGATACTTAACCCTCCCTGCCAAAAAGGAAAGAAAAACCAAACCAAATCAGGAGGGATGCGAGTAGATTTGAGTATCATGTGAATCTCTGAATCAAAAGGGTCAAAGTAGGAAGGTAGGGAAATGAGCTCCTTACTTGGTGTCAAATTCAATGAGGTTGGTATCCACAGGGACATCTGCTTCTGGAGCGGCTGAGGGTGAAGGGAAAAAAGGGTAGGCACTGAAAGGGGCAGGTTCTCCACTAGCCCTGCCTCCAGCCCTCCCTCTGCAGGAGGCTTGTGGGTGCAGTGCTTACCTGTCTGTGGCCTGGGAAGGGGGATGTGGTCATGGGGCTTAGGATGCATGAGAACAAAAGGCAGCTCCACAGAGACATCCCTGGGCAGGGAGAGAAGCCACGTGAAGAAAATGCAATGACAAGGTAGAATCCTATAACCCCACCAAACTCCCCTTATCACTCACCCGCCTCGAGACACCACCAGCTTCACCTTGACCCTATAGGACACCAGGATTCCCAGCACCTCCTTGTTAGCCCCCTCCTTCACGCTGAAATTAGGGATGAGGGGAGGGAAGTTGGGTCAGGGTCCATTGCCCTGTCACCTAGCCTGCCGTGGGGTCTTGTCAGGATTCTGGGTTGGAACTACAAACTCACACTAGTCTCCAGAGCTACAGCAGCATCAGCTAAGTAATCATGGCAGTAAGCTACGCCAAGGCATTCTCCTACACAGAACCCTCCTGGGCATCTCATGTGACCCAACAGCTCTGCTCGTACTACTCTTTACTTCCTACTCCTCTCCTTGTTTCATCTTACCATGCTGGTCTCCAGGCCTGCTGAGTGTGGCTGTATGTGTGTACTCAGAGCCAGGGCACGAGCTGAGGTGAGATCCAGCCCTTTGTGACTCTCAACCTCTGGGGCTTCTCCTGCCCAAGGGCACAGCAGCACCTCACTATTCTCAGATATGGGCCCATTCCAACTCTTAAGAGCCTTGCAGCTCTCTCTAATGAAACCCTCTTTCCCTGCCTGTCCACATTGTCCTTTTCCTCTGGGTTCCTCCTCAGCATTCATCTTCTCTGACAACCCCACTTAAAAATCAGCATGCTGGTCTCTGGGTGCTTTTGCTCTTTAACATACTAAGTACTTAACCACTTACCTATTTATCTGATCACTTGCACCCCCAAAGTAAAGTTTTTTTTCTTTTTTGGGGGGGATTTCCTTTGTTCATTGACACATTCCTGGCACCTAGGCAGAGGCTGGCACATAGCCAACCCTAAACAGAAGTCTGTCTCCTGGCCCCCAGGTCCCCAGCTCTGTTCTCACATGGTGCTGGAAGCCAGGTTGGTATCCTCATGTTTGAGTTTCCCATCTAGAGCAAGACCGCGCTTCTCCCGGTTGTCACTGAGCAGTGGGGTTATGGTGTACACTTTACAGAACGTGGAACTGGGAGATACCTGGTCACTGGGAGATAAGGACAAAGGGATAAGACTCTTGGAGGGGCTGAGCTGGGTGATGGGGCAGCCTACCACCCCCAAATACTATCTCTTCCATTGCTGCTTTGGGCACAAGTTATAAGGGGACAGGTTGTGGTTCAACCTGCCTACGAAAATTAACCTCTTGAGCCATGTGGCAATGGAGGGGATGCTCTTTTAGTGACACAGTGCAGAACTCTGGTTGCCACTTATTCTCAGCCTATTTACCCCTCAGACTGGGACCTAGGCCTATTATAATACTTACTCTTGTTCGAGCTGGGCCACTGGACACTTGTACTGGGCTGTGCTGAAGAGGCAGATGTCGGCATATTGTCTCACTGTGGGGTAGGGTCGGGCAGCTCTGGATGAAGTGCAGACTATCATCTTGCCACACCTCCACCACAGTACAAGCCCATACCACAGGGCGTGGTCCCATCCCCTGCACACCTCCCCCTCCTATCCTGACACAAGGCCCTCCCCACAGAAAACACCGGGGCTGGCACATCTTTCTGCTGCAGTCTCAATTCTCTGCATCCTGGAAAGCCACATTTGTAGGCCCTCCCTCCCGCAAGAGCCTCTTCCACTCCCACCTCCTACCAGAGACTCTGATCTTCTTGACGGTCTTGGCGGAGTTGTTGGTGACATGGACGTTGACATTGAGGGGCTCCCCATGGTAGTACAGCTTTCAAAGGGAGGGGGCATGTGAATGACAATCTTTATTAGCTCCCTTGGTGCCCCCCCACCTCCACCCCTAAACCCAAGCCCATAGCAACTCCAAGACCAGCTGAGGCAAACTTTAAAATGCCATCTTGCCTGTGGCTTCCTCCTGCCTCCGGGGTCTGGCCTGCCTTGTGGAACCGTTGTTACCTTCTAGGCTCACCTCCTTGTCCAGGGATGCCTCGAGGTGCAGGGACCGGTCAGACATAAGGAAGTGGCGCGTGGTTTCTGCTGAGGGCTGGGGGCCGGGTTTCTCTGGGGCAAACTGCACCTTGCGGATCACTAGTCGCACAGAGTTCCTGGAGTGGGGGTTGGAGGGGAAGAGTCAGTCCCCAGGCCCCCAGAGCCCAACTCCCACCTCCCACAGGGGCCTGGGACTCCAACAAGCAGGGAAGAAATGGCTAAACCATATAGAAGGCTGCTTCCCTCACCTTTTGTGACTTTTCTCTTCTAGTGATTTGGCACAGAAAGCTCGAATCTCAAAGTCTACCCCGCAGGCCTCAAGAAGGGGAGGAAAGGCCACATCTTAGCCAAGGCTTCTACCGTCACCCCCACCCCTTCTTCCTTCCTCACTTCCCTCCTCTCATTCAGGAAATCTTGCCCCATCATGGTGTGAAGGACATAAGGACTGTCTCCCCCTCTGCTTCTTTGCAGCTGGCACCCGGCAGAAGCCTATGAATGGTTATCAGTGGGCAGCCCCCACATCCAGGTGCACACAGGGCAAGAGAGCAGGAGGCAGCGCTGCATGTGCAGTGACCACATCACTTGTACCCACATCTACAAAGTGCTGGGTGGGTAGGCAGCGGGTGGGAGCTGCACACAGACATTTCCTACCCTCAGTCCACCCCTGCAGTCACACTCAGTTCTGCGTAGGGACCCGTTCTGCCCACGCACCCTCAAAGCCCTTTCTCTGGTACCTTCCCTGTGTCCTCTGGTCCTGGCTGCAGTGTGACAGAACAGGGAAGATTCTGGGGTATCTGTGGCAAAGGAAAAGGGAGGCTTCAGTCCTAAAAGACTCCAATTTTCCTCCCAACTCAACTTATGAGGGCTGAAGAAAGGGCACATGGGGATGAGAAAGACAAAAATGGCCTCATGGAGGAGGCCTAGACCAGGGCTTCCTGAATGCAGGTTCCAGATTTGCCTGTAACAGGTGCCTCACCCGATTCACCCCAGCACAGTCCCAGGCCCCTCCCCTGCAGAAGGTGGGGGCATCCTCACTGTGAAAAAAAAGGGGTGGGCATGCTGGCCCAGCTTCCTCAGCAGCCGGTCTTGTAGGCGGGTGAGTGGCCGGGGTGGGTTGGGCACTGGGGGGAAGGCCTGGTAAGTGGCGATGAACAGGTCTTTGCGGAAGGACAAGCCCAGCACATCCAGGTCTTCACGCCCATAGCGAAAGGCGCAGGTGAGGGTCACAAACACTGGCAAGGGAGGGCAAGGTAGAGTCAGGAACACCCCTTTCCCTGGTGGCCTCTAGTACCTAGGCAGCCACAGCTCCTTCCTTAGTGGCATAACTTTCCTGAATTCTACTCTAGGATTCTACTTCAGCCCTCCATCTCTCTGGGGTACCTATCTCTCATGCTGGCCCATTACATTTCTCCCTCTTCTTTCCCCTAAGGGCCCTGAACTTGTAATATATTACCTTTTCGGTCCTTCAAGTAGTCAGGATCCACGAGCACCACTCCATCTAGGTAAGAGACATACACGCCTGTTTCCTGAAGGGGCTTCACCCCCTCCCTGGACCCAAAACCTTCTTTTCCTCTTTATTTTTTGAGGTACTAGAGATCAGACCTCCAGAGCCTTCATATAGAGCTAAATCCCCAGGGTTTTTTTTTTTTTTTAAAATTCTGGGGATCAAACTTGGGACCTTGAGCTTGCCAGATAGGTGCTTACAAAAGTATTGAGCTATCTCCGTTTTTTTGTTTGTGTTGTTTTTTTTGAGACAGTCTCACTAAGTGGTCCAGGCTGAGCTGAAAATTCATGTTCCTCCTACCTTAGCCTCAGGAGTGTTGGGATTACAGATGTGTACTATGCCTGAGTCTCTTCCTTCTTGGAGGATGAACTGTCAATTTCTGGGCAAACTTACCTACAGGATCCACTTTGTCCAGGTGATCTACAAAGTCTCGCTTGCCCAAGTACACGGTGAGCTGAGGATGTCACAGGGAACATTGGGGAGGATGGTAATAAGGCTTCAGAGCCCTAGAAGTGGCTGAACCTGCTTCAGATTCCCCAGGCTGGACTATCAGGAAGGAGTTTCTCCCAGTAGTGTTGGAAGGTGAGAATGATAGGGTTCCCCAGACTACCCAACTGAGCTTTAGGCTTTTTAGCAGCTCTTGAATTTTTTTCTCACTTGTGCCCACTCATCACTACCTTCACTAGATCCTCTCAAGGGGCTCTGGGATAAACAGGTTATAGCTTGAAGGGTTGTTAATTTTTCCTAGCCCCAGGATCCTCAGAGAGTTACTTGCTAGGCACAGGGTTTGCTTCTAACTCTTTGGTCTTGCTTAGGGACTCAGGCCTGCCACACCCAGCCATGTGGTTGGCTCAGGCTGAGCAGCCTTTGTGGCAAGGGGCTTCAGGAGGGAAGGAAGTCAGTGCTTAGCTGTCACAGGAAGTGGGGAGCTAGAGGATGGAAATGGTTTAGGGGCAGGCTGGGTTTGGTAGGGCCCAGGGAGGGTTAAGGAAGAAGCATAGTAGGTGACTCACCTTGCAGTTAGGGCTTGATTTCTTGAAGACCCTAATAAAACAGAAAAGGAAACCCCACTGCCTCCCTCAGACTCAGCAGGGACTCCAATCCCTGGCCTTTATCCCCACCCAGCTTGAGAAGCAGAGCTTACCCTGAGTCCCTGGGTAGAGGCTTTGCCCAGTTCTCCCCTCCCATTTCTTTCCAGAAAGTCTGTCATACTTCTTATATGGCCAATTGCCAATGCTTCTCTTATCTTTAAGCTACTCTCATAAATTCCTCTTTTCTCCACAGTAATGACCACTGGCTGTCCCAAGAACCATCCAGGCTCTTCCCAAAGCGAACTTGAACGGGTAAGCTATAGCAGTGTTGGATTCAGACCTAACCATCTCTGTATCTGATCTCCAGTTCAAGCAACAGCTGGGGTGTATGATTTTTTTTTGGGCTGGCTCAAGCTGCTTTAAGGGCGGGTCTGGGGATCAAGCCACAGGGCTGGGGTGCAAGTCACCTGCACCTGACTGGGTTTGCCAGAGCAGGTGCTTAAACAACTGAGCTAACCCGCAAGCCCACAGCTGGGGTGTATGGAAAAGCAATAGCTCTGGCTTTTGCCTCTCAACTGGTTTCTACCGTAGGTGATATCAAAGACAGTCCTTCTTCCACTAACCTTTCACTGTCTGCATCTCAGACCTTAGCCATTTAAAAGCCTATTCATTTTGCAGGACTTAGCTCGGTATCATCTCCTTTAGGATGCAGACCCAGCCCAGAACCCCCTGGTCACTCTTTTTCTTTTGGGCTCCTGCCACATCTTGTTTATCTGTTCTTTGTGGTATGACAGCAAACAAGGGCAGTATGCGGTGCATCATTTGTCTCTCTTTTTAGACTGAATCTCAGAGGTCTTGTTCATTTAGGTACCTCCAGCACAGAGGCAGCCATACGACAAAGAAGATGGTGATGGCTAGTATTTAATTAGGCAATATTTAATATTCTATACCCAGCTGTTCTAAGTGTTTCAAGTGTGTTATTCAATACTCTTAGCAATTCCGTGAAAGATTCGAATATCCCTACTTTACAAATGAGAAAACTGAGGCATGGAGAGGTCAAGTATTTTGTCTACGATCATGGAGACTGCATAATCATGGTGGAACTCAGATACAAAATGAGGCAGTCTGGCTTGCAGTCCCTGCTAAACAATTACACAGTCCATCGCTTGTAAAGGGCATAGATAATCTGTCAAATTGAAGGGGTTTTCTAACCCCTTCCCACCACTCCTGCTGAAACAGTCTAATCCTGGACTCTACTCATTGCTGGGAGGTTAGGGAAGTGTCTGGGACCCTCATGCTCTGACTGCATACATGTTCTTTAAAACACCATCTTACTCCTTCTGATCCACTCTGCCTCAACAGTAGTTCCTGGAAAGAGTCCTCAAATAATAGAAAGTGAAATTCTGCCGAGTGTCCTACTCCTGCTCCAACCCCATCATCCCAGTTTCTACTATAGCAAGTTCACTTGCCCCTTTGTCTTTGAAGGCCAGACTGTCCAAAGATCATAAAGCAAAGGGTATGGAGGCCCCTGGGCATCTTCAACCAGTAAGAGTGAAGACACAGACATGGTGGCAGCTAGAATAAACACCCTACCTTTTGTCCCAACTTGGGGGCTGATTGCTAGTGTCATTATCCATGCTGTCCCTCCCTTTCACTTCTGGTTTTCCTCTTTGTCCCAGTGTTTCCTCCCATTTAGGAGCTCTGGCAGAGGACTGCAGCAGTCACAATCAGTTGGCCAAATGGATCGTGGCTCTGGGTCAATTGCACTGGAACAACTACAGGGCACCTGCCCCTTGGATCCTAACACAGCTACCACTTGCCAGTGTAGAGGAGCAGCACACACATACTGAGGCTGGCCAAGGAAAGTGTGGGAATGATCAGGGAGGTGCCCAGTGAGTGTGTGAGGGTGCAGAAACAGATGCCCCTTTGCACTTCCTCCTATTCTCTCCATTTCCTGTGGCCCAGAATTTGATGAGGGTGGAGGGAATTATGCCAAGTCAGCAGTCCCTCTTTGGTCACTCCATTGCCCTCCCTGAACCACATAACGGAAATCAGGGGGCCTCCCTGAAGTCAGCAACTTCCCCTTTCTCTGGGGTGTTTAACCCCTAATCCAAGATGCCAGTCTACCCCCTAGTCTTCTCTCCTCGATACTGGTCCTCTGATGCTCAGAAACCTGGACTCTAATATTCTGGGAGGGGCGAGTGATAGGGCTGATGTGATGTTTCGCAGAATAAGTGAGGGCTTTCTGAACCTGAGTTGAAGCATACAGCCTCAACGTTTTCTTTCTTTGCTCCCACTCTCCTGGGACTCAGACATTCACCCCTGACCCTTTTGGGGTGTTGGGTCACAACAGGAAGTGGATTTTGCTACAGTAAAAAAGAAAAAAAAAAAGAGAACTCAGGGTGTCAAGTGCAAGGAAGGAGCCTCGATTGCACAGAAAACATCCGGGGAGTGAGTGCTTTGGGCAGAACTGCCTTCCCCTTTCACCCTAAGGAGAGGGATACAACCTAATTTCAGGGAGAGTCGCTATGCACCCTGCTCCCTCAAGATGAAACTGTTGCTTTTAGCCAGAGGGCAGAGAGAAGTTTGGAAGTCGAGCCACCCGGCCCTTGGGACAGGTAGAAGCAGCCTCACTGCCTGTAGGGTATTGCACAGAAGGCTTTCCATTGGTTGGCCACGAGTCTAGGGAGGATCCCTTTCCAGCATTCAGTCTCCCAGTATACAACCCCTCGGGGCTGGCCACCTGCTCCTTCCTCCGCCCCAGCATCGCAACATGCACTGGAGAACCCAGTGGTCCGAAACCTACATCTCAAAGAAAATTCCGATGTCTGGATACCAATCCCCTTTAGGCCTCCCCTTCTGCAGGCTCATGTTCATACCCCTCCCCATTATCCTCAAGGACCTAGGCGTGCGGCCCCGATGGCTGCCCCCTGGGACCCAAGGGTCCGGAGCGGGGATTCTCTCTTCCTTATTCTTGTCCAGGGACCAACCTGCCACCCACCGCAAGCGGCCGCTGCCCATGCCCCGCCGCGTGGCCCCACCTCCCTTACCTGGTCCCGGGTTTCTCCCCCATGGTGTGCGCGCCCGGACCGGCTTGCAAGCACCCTCCTCACCCTCCGGTAAGACCCTGCTCCTCCCCGCGCCACTGGGCATGCGCGCACTCTGCTCTTTCTCCTCCTCCCCCTCCCCTCGGGTTTTAGAGAACCCGGGCCAGATGCGTCAGCCGGATTGCGCGCGCCTCGGTGCTGCCCGCCCTCTCCTTACCGACAGGATCGGTGATTGGCTCCGCCCCCCCCCCCCCCCCCCCCGTTTCCTCAGTCTCTATGGGGTAGTCCGCCCTCCGCAGCTCTCTTCCCGCCCATCTCTCCGCCTCCTTTCAATTTTTTAGAAACTGTTTGGGCCTCTTTAAACGAAGACACCCGCCTTGCAGGAGATTAGACCAATCGGATTGGTACGCCGACTTAAGAGCCCTACGGGGGTCCCCTCCCCTTTGTTTGCTTTCTCTGTGGTGGTGGGGGCGATGGAGGCGATGGAATGAGCTCAAACACCGCTGGGGGGGCCGAGGAGGGATGCACACGTGGGTGAACTCTTTCAGTTGCGTGACGCTTCCTTCAGTGCACTTCGCTCTGCAGCTCAGCCCAGAACGTCCCGTTTTTATTGTGGTATCGTTGCTCCCTCTGGTGTTTGTCTTCATTCGCGCCGTGTTCCTTTTTACAATTTCTCTGACTTCATCTGTACCCACCTACGCCAGCAGACTTATCTACCCACTCATCCTTCCGCCCATCTATCCATCCTACTTGATACTAGTCACTATGCCAAGCACATATGAATTACTATGTCCCCTTCCTCCCTGCATATATATAATATATATAGTCGAGACACATAAAAAGGTATCATAAGTCCAGGAATGCTATAATAGAGGTATGACTCAGAAGACAAAGGAACCAAAAGTGCTCGGCCATCGTGGGGGTGGAAAGAGTTCAGGCTGTTTATAGAGAAAGGGAAATATGAGGATAATCGTTCTGAAGGATGGGCAGAAGAGGAGAAAAAGCATTCTAAAGAGACAGGAAGGCACATCCTGTTGAGGGGGACTGGAACATGTTGTGGGGAGCTTCTTCATATAACAAATGAAGATGAAGACTTAGGCTCTTCCTTGCAGGCCACCCGTGAAGTGGATTTTTAAAGCAGAGGAGTGGCTCGATGAGTTATCCCTTTTTAGAAGATAATTATGGGCATGCACTACCATTCTTGGCAAAATCTACTGTATTAGGAGATACTAATATAAATACAATTTCAAAAAGATATTCAAGAAGTCCAGAAAGAACGAGACATACCATATTTTGGGTGGAAGCACCCAACTTGAGAAAGATATTATTTTCTCCCCTTAGCTTTAATTTTAACACCGCATCAAATAACAAGATGGAGAGAGGATTACTGTAGACAGGTAAGTTAGGTAGGGAGTTAGAGCGGAAGATAAAGATACATTGTAACTGTGGCTAAAGGTCCGTCCATTGGGGGCCAGGCTTCCATGGCAGTTCAAGGAATAAGCAATATACTATGATTGCTGTTATCTGGCCCAGTAAAGTCTAGACAGACCTCAGTCATTTCGGGGGGTGACCAGGACCTCCTGACTCATCTCAAAAAAGTCCTTGTTCTTGCCATGTACACTTGCTATATGACTTGCTTCTCCATTGGATCATTATTACTTAAACGGCTACAGTTGTGATCTTACTGGTGGATCCTAGTTTTGACTCACTTTACACTCACCTTGTGATTTTTCTCTATTAAACTTCCTTTGAGAAGTGGGCTCATTGGCAACCCACTTACACGTTTCCTCCTGTCTCTCAGAAGTTGTCTCTTTCAATAAATATTTCCTGCTCTTAACCTCCCATTGTTCCTTAGAATTTATTCTTCGATTTTGGGGGACATGAACTCAGTGTATCTGACATCCAAAAAGGTTGGGAGTTATGTTTATTTCCCCTATATAATTATGATTCTAAATATAATCAGAAGAATCAACTTTCACATATAGCCAGAACAATTCTAAAAAACTAATTGATTAGGCTCTTAAGATAATTTTTTATGTTGTAATAATTAAAATTATGTTATTGGCACAATAAAACTGAAAAGCAATGAACAGAAAGGAGTCCATATACAGATTCACTTCATAGCATGGCAAGTTAGTGGAGAAAGAATGGTATATTCACTAAATAGGCTTGGGACAACTACCTAGGGGAAAAGAAGTTAGATCTTTATCCTCACATATTAAATAAATGATAAAGATCTAAACACACAGAGTACGATTTTGAAAGTCTTAAGCAGTGCGTGGTGGCACACACCTGTAGTGCCAGCTCTCAGAAGGCTGAGGCAGAATTAACATGAATTTGAGGCCAGCCTGGACTACATAGTAAGTTAAAATCTAGCCTGAGCTACCCAGTGAGACCCTGTCTTAAAACCAAAACCAAATACCAACGCAAAAAGGAAAATTTTAGGAAAAAATTTTAAAAAATAATTTTGGGTGTTGAGGAAGGCCTCTTAAGATATCAAATTCCAGGGTTGTAACAATAGCTAATTGATAGGTTTGGGCCCTAGTGTGAATTGCTAAAATCATAGTGGTGGTCGTCTAACATGGCCAATGCCCCTAAAACAAAGGCCTATGCTTCCAGGATCATCTCCCCCTTCTCCGACTTAGCCTAGCACATAATTTTTTTTTTTTTTTTTTTTTCCCGGAACTGGGGATTGAACTCAGCCCCTTGTGCTTGCCAGAGAAGTGCTTATTCTACTGGGCCATCTCCCCCGCCCCCAGCACATAATTTATTTTCACCCTTCCCACCACCCTCACAGAGGACACCCAATCAACTCCCTCAGGTATATTTAAAGATCCCCTCCAAACTCCACTCCTGGCAAAAAGCCATGAAAGCCTCAGCCTCCCTTTGTCTAGTCCAGAAAATTCCTTGACCTCCCCAAATTCTCTCCATGTCCTCAAAGAAAATAAAGCCCTTTTCCCTTTTTCCTTCTGCCTGTTTCTCTGCTGTGCTGTTCACCTGAAAAACACCTATCACTAACACTTTATTGTAGATAGAATGTGTAAAATATTGTTCTAAACATTTTACAGCATTAATTCCCTTAATATTACTCTAGGACACTGTATGTAGAAAGCACCCTGTCCAGTCTGAACTCCACACAGCTGGACCCATCCTCCGCGCAGTGAGCTGCTTCATCCGGGTTGAGCAGCGAAGAGGGTCGCTGGCCACACTGGGTCTGATTCTATCTGGGTTGGGCCTGCCAGGGTCCCAGGGTCAGATGAATAATAAAATTTGTTGAATGAGAAAAAAAAAATTATTCAAGGAGTTAAGGCTTTATGGTTATCCTAATTTTACAGAAATGGAGACACAGGTAAGAAACTGACAGATTCGGGCCAGTGAGATAGTTTAGCAGACTAAGCACTTGCTTAGGCAAGCACAGGGACGGGGTTCCATCCCAGCACCACATGCGTCGCTGGCCCTGCCCCTGGGTGCGCTAAATGGTCTGGGCGTGGTAGCACATGCCTGTAGTCCCAGCACGAGGGAGGCTGAAATTGGATCATGACGAGTTGGAGCTGCATAGTGAGACCTTGTGCCAAATAAATAGAAAAGAAAAAAGAAAGAAAGAAAGAAAGAACTTGATAGACTCACACAACTAATAAGAAGCAAAGTTGCTGTTTGAACCTGGTAGTCTGGCTTTAGAGTCTGTACCCTCAATCACACCTTACTTCCAAAGGACTGAGACTGGGCGTGGTGATGCACACCTGTAAGCCCAGCTCTTGGGAGGCTGTAAACAGGCAGATCACTACAAGTCTGATCTAGTAGTGAGATCCTGACTACCCTGTAGATCCTTCCCTAAAAATACAGAAAAAAAAAAAAGAAAAAAAAAGTGACACATCCAAAGGACTGTGATTTACAAATAATGATAATAATAAAAAAAGACAAACTCTGGTAACACATATAAGATAATAATTTCCCACATCTGGGCGGGAGAGATGCTCAGTGGTCTAAAGCACCTACTTAGAACAAGCTTAGCGCCT